GGGCTATCTCTCCTCTCATCTGCTTGTGCCACGCGGAGATATTGGCCGTAATGATGGGGTTATGGCAGCCAGCCGCAGCACCGTGCTTCGCTAATAAAATCACTGTTAGGGCCACGATATTAGCAGGCATCAGATGGAAAAATAAACCGATTAGCCTGCACTTCAGGGCACACATAGAGTTAGGTTGAAGCGTAGACTTGGAAATGCTCCATTTAAAGGAATAGTTCACCCAACAATTTTAATTTGCTAAACAATTACTCTTTCTCAGGCCATCCAAGATTTTGATTCATTTGTTTACAAGTGAAAACAGTCCAAAACAGTTCTAAACAAATATTTTGGTGGATTTTGATGTGAGAGGACAACAGGAGAGGAACTGGAGTAAGCATTGTTATGGATTGTGGACTTACTAGAAGTAATGGTTTAAAGTTAAAACATCTTAATGAATTTGTTCCGTACAAACACGTAGCTTTTTAGCTTTTTGATGGACTGGAGTCGTGTGGATTACTTGTGGATTATTGTGTATCAGATGTTTGGACTTTCATTCTGACGGCACCCATTCACATTGGTGAGCAAATAATGTAATGCTAAATGTCTCCAAATTTGTTCTGATGAAGAAACAAACTCATCTACATCTTGGATGGCCTGAGGGTGAGTAAATGTTAAGCAAATTTCATTTTTGGTTGAACTATTCCTTTAAGCAGTGTGACTGCAACTGTATATCGGCTAAGTGATTTCTCACAGGGTTTGACAGACATGTCCCGACAATAGTACCTGTGGAGACCCTGCGGTTTGTGGTTTGAGTGAGCGGACTCCTCTGTGCGTATCCCACTGGGTTGTGTGTGAGGATACAAGAGCCATTCGGCAGCCGGACAGTGGCTCTCTCTGTGGGGCTGTGGATCCTGCTCGGGGTTTCTTTTGAAAGGTGCCAATGCTGTCCTATGGAGGAATCCTCAGCACAGATAATAACAACCAAACCATGTGGAGAAAATGACTGATCATGTGTGTAATTAAAATGAGGTGTGTGTGTGTGTGTGCGATTTGGGACAGTGTTCTCACCAGGCTTGTCAGCTACTGTGCTGTGTTAATTTGCAAGACCAGAGCAGGGAATAGCTGTGCTCTCGGAGAGTGAAGATATTGGCCGTGTGTCATCTTTGTGCTGTCACACATCCGATTGTCCCAGAGCTCTCGGATGAACTGATGTTTCCAGGCACAAATATCCTTTAAGATGCCCTGTTTTTGTTTGTGTTCATGCTATATTTTATGATTAATTCAGACATCAGTTCAGCATAATGAATATGTTGTAGTTAGGCTCATGCACTATTCTGAATTGAGAATGCCATTTAAATTTCCATTGAGCTCCTTAATTTGAATTGGATTTTAATTGAGGTAGCAAACGAGATGTAGAATTAACTTAAATTTGAATGCAAGTAGAATTGAAATGAATTGAAATTCAAAGAATTTCATAAAACAATTTTTTTCAAAAGACAAACTTTGAATGTTGAAAAGTTTGAGGTCAGTAAAAAAAATTTTTTATGTTTTTGAAATCTCTTATGTTTAGCAAGGCTGCATTTGTTTGAAAAATACAGTAAAAACAGTAATACTGTGAGATATTACAATTTAAAACTCCATTACTCTTTAGTGTCACACGATTCTTCGGAAATCCTTCTAATATGCTGATTTGGTGCTCAAGAAACTTTTGTTATTATTATCTTATTATTTTGTATTATTTTGCTGCTTAATTTTTCATTGAAAACCGTGATTTATTTTTTTCAAGAATCTTTGATGCATAGAATTTTTTTTTCATTTATTTTGAAACAGAAATATTATCTAACATTATAAATGTCTTTACTATCACTTCTGACAGTAAATCTGTCAAATCATTGCTTACAAAAAAATCCCACTGACCCCAAACTTTTTGAATGGTTATGTACGTTTCATCATATTTTTGTGGTCCAGGGTGGAAGAACACTTCATTTCCCAGAATGCATGACCTGTGTTTAATTCCTTTAAATTACCTTCGGTAAATTCCTCTTCCTGTTCAAATTGCAATTCAGATTCCAATTCCAACTTCCTGTGAGATGTGGCCAGTTCAATGCAAATTCACACTCAAGAATTAATTCTTCAAATTTTCACCATGGTTATTGTTTTCTTATGTCAGCGGTTCTGATGTCTCTCAGAGATCATTGTCGTCTACCTAAGAGTGTTCGCCAGACACCATGTTGTCATAGAGGAGTTGTCGGGGTCAAGGTGACTGACACAACTTTGACATCATGAAAAGCTTCTACTCCTTTCCAGAGGCGTGCTTCTGTTCTCCACCTCTGCCGTCGGCTTCGAGAGGGAGGGAACGAAATCGAGGGTAGCAGGAGTGATCAATTTGGAGGCTATCAGCACCAGCATGTTCGGAGTGCTGAATTAACACACCACCAGGGACTGTTCCTGGAGCCCACCACGAGCCCTTCACTCCTAATGTGCTAACAAGCTCACTTTTGCTGTCTCTTCAGTGGCAATTTCTCTCTTTCCTTCCAGAGCCCAGGAGTTCAGCGCGGTGACAATGAAAAGCTCTGTAGGAGGGGGGAAGAGGCCAGGAGTATTTTTCCCACCTTCTGCCTTTCATCCACAGGGAAAATTAGTTTCTGGTAATGCACAAAAGGCTCTTTTTTATCCTCCTCTCCTCTTCTAGCATGTGATGCTAGAGAGGGCACGAGAACCCGGCACGCACTCTCTTAAAAGGACTTTCTCCTTTTTAACAAGCCGTCATAAAAAAAACACCACCCATCAAAAATTCAATTACAGCGGATGCAAGGCCCAGGTTATTTGGGTGAATACATGGTGCAAAAAAGAGAGAAGGGGAAAAAAGAAGAACTGTTTTTCCCTTTACCTCTCTCTTTGTGACACACAAAGAGCATCTGAAGTCAACAGCGGAGAGGATTTGTTGTCTTGGTGACAGGGTGGTATTAGAGGCTCATCTCAGGTTCAGGATGGTGACCACATGTGGGCGGCTCTGAGAGGGCTATTAAGATGCACAGCGGTGCTGCTCACGCTCTGCTCTCGCTGTTTGGAATGGTTGCCCGGTTGTAGCCAGACTATCAGCATAAAATCTGGTCCACTATGCAGCTTTTTCTGGTCATGAACCATCTGTGTAGCAGAGCTGTAGTCAGGACTAGACCTTGTAAGACCCAGACCAGTAACAAACCCCCAAGATCCAAATCTTGACCAAGACTAGACCCCTCAAGACTCGTAGACTTTTCAGTCTAAAAAACAGGTTCTCCATTTCAGTGACCTTAAAGGGAGAAAAAGCTGGTTTAATTCCAGCTTTTTTACCAATGATAAAATGTTTAAAATTTTGTAAATATTTCATCATGTCATATTCATTGTAGTTAATTTTATGGTGACTGAAATGGCATCTAAGTTGTAACTTCTGTTTTGTGCAGATGTACACTACCGTTCAAAAGTTTGAAGTTTGTAAGTTTTTTTTTTATGTCTCACCAAGGCTGCATTTATTTCTTTAAAAATACAGTTAAAAACAGTAATATTGTGAAATATTATTACAATTTAAAATAACCATTTTCTATTTGAATATATTTTAAAACGCAATTTATTCCTGTGATGGCAAACCAGAATTTTCAGCATCATTACTCCAGGCTTCAGTGTCACATGATACTTCAGAAATCATTCTAATATACTGATTTGGTGCTCAGGAAAAATTCTTGTTATTATCAATTTTGAAAACAGTCATGCCGATTAATAACGGAAATGATGATACATTTTTTCAGGATACTTTTATGAATAGAAAGTTCAAATAAATCAGCTGTTATTTGAAACGGAAATCTTTTGTAACATTTTAAATGTCTTTACTTGCATCTTTGCTTAATAAAAGTAATAATTTCTTTAAAAAAAAAACTTAACCCAAACTTTTGGATGGTAGTTATAATGTTACATTTATGTTGTGTATATATCTGATTAATCTCCTATGTATATGATGGTATATAGGATTTTGTGTATGTATTTTGTCTGGCAAGTTTTAAGCAAAATATAAATTATTCTGTGTCTAGTGAATTAACTGTTAGTGGTTCATGAGGCAGTGGCGCTCTTAGTTTTAATAATTTGGAAGTGCAGAACAGGGAGGCCACAGCTGATGTCTACATTCAGAGGCTTTGAATTAATTTGTAGCAGTCGTGACTGAATGTTTCAGTCAGTAAGACCATATGAGTGCTGTTCTGAGCTGTTAACACGGCGGTCACCGGCTCAGTCATGTTCCGCTTATGGTTGTAGTACAGCATGTGTCTAATTACGCCGCTCCTACAGACACTTTCTCTAGCTGCTTTGTCTTCTCCTCTGTGGGAACCTCTCACCAACTCGCGCTAGGGTTCGCTCTCAAACAGCGGGACCCATCGGCAGGAAACGGGTCTGCTGGAGACAGGAAAAGTCAAACGACAGATCTGCGTGCGTGTTGTATTTCCTACGTGTTCCTCTTCACCGGCAGAAACGCTCAAAGAACTAGAGCCGAGAATATCTTCCCCCTGCCTCGTCCCAGCAGGACCTCCGTTTCTTTTCATCTCGCACTCGCACCGTTTCTCGCTGCTCCTCCATCAAGTTTCTCCAGTGACGCAGCATCCGTCGTTATCTGAACCGTGTGCTCTTGGCTTACTGAGTTATGAATGCAGCAAAGACCTTATGCCACCGGTCTACTTAATCAAATCGTCCCCATTAACAGAATCCCTCCGTTTTTAAACCCATACACAGCGACATAATCCAATCCCTTCCATTTACTCAATACCATCATTTTTCTTAACCGAATAACACAGACAGTAAGATGTCCATTGATACCCAGTGTCACCATACGTAAAGCAATGACAGCTTTGTAATACAGTTTACAGTATGATGGGAGAATTATTAGCTCATGGCATCCTGGCTAACTGTTTGACCCCTGTTGATGTGTTTTTGTCGCTTATGAAATCGATGCACCAATCTTGTATGACTTTAACTCGTATGTTTATCAGCTACGAAGAGAGAGCAAGATATCTGGAGACGATAGTCCAGCACCACTTGGAACCGACAACATTTGAGGACTATGCGGCTCATGTTTTCTGCCCTGCACCTTTCCACCATCTTCCCTCTGAAGCAGGTGGGCATTGACTTAATTCATCTGTCATTTTACAGTACTCACTATTCACCTTCACGCACAATTTCATTCAGTTCCAGGCTTGTAGAATCACATGCACACTTACTTTCTTATCCAGTCACCTCACCTTTGTTATTTTTACATGTACATTTTCATGCATTTGCTAGATGCTTTTATCCAAAGCAACACTGCATTCGATATACATAAACACTACCATTCAAAAGTGTGGGGTCATTAAGATTTTTTTATGTTTTTGAGAGAAGTCACCAAGGCTGCATTTATTTGATAAAAAAAGTTATCAATGTTGAAAACAGTTGTGCTGCTTAATATTTTTGCAGAATCCATAATGCATTTTTTCTATTTTGATGAATAAAAATTGATTTTATGAATGTCTTTACTGTCACTTTTGATCAATTTAATGCATCCCTGCCGAATAAAAGTTCATTTCTTTCAAAACAAAATCTTACTGACCTCAAACTTTTGAATGTGTATTTCAAGAAGCTCTTTCTGGGAATCAAAGCCATGGTCTTGGCATTGCTAGTGCTGTGCTCTACTATTTGAGCTACAGGAATGCTAAACTTAAAATGAACATGGCAGCTGAACTTGAAACAAAGGCAGTCCAAAAATAGTGTTAAGCCCTTTTTTTGGAAGACATTTCTGAGAAAACAATTGCAGATGAATTCATTTGAGGAGAATTCATTGATCTTTTTCCCCAATCACTCACTGTGAATATAATACAAAAATAGAGTCATTATCCAAGCCTTTCATTTGAGGACACATGCATAACTGTATTTTTTTTTTAGTTCATTCATTGCAAAACAATTTGCTTTTGGGGTGAAAAACGATCATTAGTTTTATATTCTATGCAAATTGAGTCGTTTTTCAAACCCAAAGATTTTATTCTGGCTTTTGTGTTGGCCTCCCAGTAAACTTCTAAACCCAAATGTTCATTTTTCTTTTCTTTTTTTTTCTTTTTCATTCCAATTTTATTTTTGTTATATTTTATTTTGTTTATTTTATGTTTCCCCTTCAGATCATAATCTATCACTTGTGTATATCTAAAGGTAAGATTCCTGAAGATGCCGTACACTGAGGCTGCCTGATTGTCTTTGCGTTTGTTTGGCTTGTAACGACGTTATGAGCTCCTTCTCTTTTTGCTTCATCTTGTTTGTTTGTTTGATTCCTTTCTAGACTGAAACATGTTCCCTTCTTTTTCCATGTTCTCTGTATTTTGTCCAATGGGAAGTCTGCAACATACATTGCATGGCATGTTCACACCAGATCCCTAACGCTGACCAACATTTACACTCTCTACCTCTCTCAGACGTCACTCCTCTAGGTTCCTATAAGTCACGTCTGTGTCCAGCATGATCTCACAGCTTCACTCACCTCATCTTCTATTCTTTATATCACACATATGTCTGTCTGTTTGTGTAAACGTTGAATGGAAGCACCAGAATGGTACAGTACAACAGCTCTCATATGGATAATAGAGCTCAATGGCGGCAGCTGCCCACTTTTTTAGCAGCCTTTGTTCCGGAAGTATTTTTCCTGTTCCATAAGCTTTTCAGAAGATTTTCAACCAACTCTTGATTGAATCACAACATTACAACAATTGATTGCAAAGTGCCTATTTTAAAAAATAAATTCTCCTCAGTAAACTGTCAGTAAACCACTGTGCTCTAATGCAAATGTCCCAGTTTAAATAATTGCCTTTATAATAATGATAATTTGACTGTGCACTACCAACGTTTGGGGTCGGTATGACTTTAGTCATAAAGGACGCATTAAATTGACTGAAAGTCACAGTAAAACAAAACAAAATTTCACAAAACTACTGTTTTATTGTATTTTTGATCACACAAAACGTTAAAAATCTTACCGACCCTACATTTTTAAATGGAAGTGTATGTTATCCCTTTCTCAGCAGCCTCAGAGCTCATGTGTAAGTCTTTTTTTAAATGTCTATATAAATAAGGTTGCATTATGTGATTATGTGAATGGCATTTTACTTCCGGAACGCTACTGCTGCGCACGATTGCGTTACAGAAGTCATTCAGGTACAGATGACAACCGGAGAGCATTACATGTGGTGTTGCAGTATCATTTCAGCGAGGTTGGTGTCACAGCATTCGGTTTTGGACTTTCGTTACTAGTGGGTAATAATCCTGACATCTTTTTGTGTTGTGTATGTGTAAGTTGAGTGGATGAGCGTGTGTGTGTATGAATAATAAACCTTCATGTGCGTGTGGCGAGATCAGCTCTTGCATTTGTGGTCTTGTATTTTATGTGCACCTGCTACTGTTTTCCCTCTAAGCCTGTTCACACCTTTATCTTGTATCTCTTCTTCTCTTTTTCTACCTCCTGTCTTTGTTTGTTTTCTTTCTCTTACATTCTACATCTATGCCCATCACTTTGCATCTTTCCTGCCCCTCTCTCTTGACGTCCTTTCTATCTGCCACTTCTGTCCATTCTCACACCCCAAGAGAGAAATGCTGTGATTTTTCTGCTCCTTCCCAAACCTCAACTAGAAAACATTGGGCTCATCAAGGTAAAGGGAAAAGGCTTGAAACGGAAGGTCTTTCACGCTAGCTGTGAATGGTATGCTGGAACTGAAAATGGCAAAGTACCTTCTTTTTTGTTTGTCTTCTTGCCCCTCCCCCCCATTCATCTTTTACAATGGAGTGTGTGTTGCGATATCGTAACTGCACCCCTGTTGGTCTCATCGAGGGACGAGGTGTCAAATCTCAGCGTTGATTAGTCCCAGCATCCCCTGTGATTCGCTCTGTGAACTTCACCCACAATGCACTGGTGGATTAACCTCTCACGCCCCTCAGGAAGGGGTTTTCACACTTATTTTGCTCACTATTTGTTACTTGTGGCCTTTATGTACAATTTAACCGAGAGGTTTTTCCCATTCCAGTCTGAGTGAAATTCACGAGTCTGATTTGAGATCACAAAAAAGTCACATTTCTTAGTATAGACACTTATTTCCCCTATTTCAACCCAATTTCATTATGTATTTCATATTTGAATTCACAAACCCAAGCTAAATTTAACCCTTTAATGACATCAATGACAACAATCTGGCATCGTGACGTTCTGATCTCTGTCTTTTCTTCTTCCTCCACTCATCCCTCCCTGACAGGCTCATGCCTCGAGAGTCAGCTGGCCGAAAGTCCAGCAATGCAGGTAGACGGGAGCGACTTAGCCTCGCCAATATCACCTCGTGCTAGCAAGAGCCGGATGTCCATGAAGCTGCGCCGTTCCTCGGGCTCCGCCAACAAGACTTGACCTGAGTGAGCAAACACACACTTCACTGCAGAACTCTGCCCACTGCACTGTCAGAGACAAACCACACCCTCTTGCCTGCAGTAGCCACACCCCCAATGCTGTCTGGCTCCTCCCATACAGAGCCAGAGTGATCAAAGACAACTTGAAATGTTTTTTTTTTTTTTTTTTTTTTTTTTGAAAATGCATTTTAGGAATTTTTAGATATTTTTAAACTGTAGACTGTAAAAAGAGTCTAAAAAGTCTAAATAAGATTTAAAAAAAGAACAACATGCAATTTTGATGAATCCTATTTTATGATTAAAAAAATAATTAGCATTCTTCAAG